CCACACCTGATCATAAATCATGGCCATTCTTAGTTAAGATTCAAACGCATAATCCGGGTACTTATCACAAAAAAAGACGTTCCTGATTTTGTTCACTATTCAGGAGAACTGTGCTGACCGGCTATTGTTAATAAAAACCGCTAACATTCCTCCTTCTCTCCCAGCCTCAACAGAACAGAAAAAAACAGGAACAAAACATACAAAATAACAGCTACATTTAATTGCAGCATTGTATCCTTTGTTTAATTGATCATTCATTTTCTTCTGGACTCCTCAGAACACTTTATCTCCATCAAAAGAATTGATAAACGCAAATTAGAAAAACCACAAATCAGACAATCAAACAAAGAAACACGTACACAGAAATTGTTTTCGTACAAATTTAGTAATATAAAAGTATGAAATTTATCATTATTATTCACAAATTAACGACCATTATTATGAGAAAACTTACAAAATTCAGATGATAGCCGGCAAACAAATAAATAAAAGACAATCACATTTACTGGCTGTGTTAGTTCAACTATGCACTATCCTGATCTAAAGATCAACTCCCCAAACTGTTTACGATACATTTCTTATAGTTCTACACCTGAGAAATTTGTGTGAAATCAAACAGCACATTTCCGCTTAAAATTGTATTGATATTGTTGGGGGAAGTGGATATTTTGTTACTCCTGTTACTTACTGAAGTCTAGAATTAAGTTAAATAATTTGCTCACATCAATTTCTAAGTCTTCTCGTTTCCTGAACAATCAGGAAAACCATGTTGATGTCTTTTTGCCAATTGTTTTCTCTACAGAATAAATATTGGTCAGGAACATTTTGATAAAAACTGAAATCTGTAACAATTACCACAATCCTGTCCCCTTAATACAAAGTCAGATGAATATCCTCAATTTGAGAGGCTTAGACACATTAATTTTATATGAGTTACAAGAGAGCAATTATCCACTTGATATACATCTATAGCAGGGTGTTTCTCCACTTATTTCCTAATAAAGATACAATTAACTCCTTATTAACTTTGCAGCACTGCAGTGTGCGCTTGCAATAACTGGCGACATCAACTCTACCAAATTGAATCGCATCATTGAAAAAATCTTGCCTCCTGATTGGTTAGTAAAGTGAGGTATTTAGCGTGAAATTTTGAGTTAAAAACGAGGCTAAGTGATATTGTTTCGCGTATATCTACACATAACTATAAGTAATGCTGTTTCATTTTTTTGTCTCATTTTTATTCAATTATGCGATTCAATGATAATTTATTACTTGACTCGTGAATTTAGCGTTAAATTGTTCTTGAAAACCAATATCGCACTCATCGCTTCGCGTTTCATGCGATATTGGTTTTTGCGTGCAATTAAATGCGGAATTCCCTCATCAAGTAATGAATTTTCCTATAGAATATTGTACTTACATTTCATGCGTGGTCTAATTCACTACCTAGATGTAATCCTTTGATTTTTCTTTCCAAAGAAATTATTATTATTATTCCAAAGAAATTATTATTATTATTGTTATTAGTACTGTTGTTAAGTTCTTAGCTACTGTTACGTTTAAATATATTATATAAATCAATTCAGTTCAGCACGTTCAGGCGCACCAAACGAGCTGCATATCTCAATCCTGTTATGGTCGTTATTACAGTTATGACATCTGTGATAAGAACTGAACAAAATACATTCATAAATGTAAAAAAAATTTGAAACAGCGAGGTCTTTATAAACATTAATTGCAATCACAATAAAAAATGAATTCGACTTTTTAAATTGCTTTCTATCAGCTCCCGTCCGAATGAATTCTTTGCAGCTACATTCTAATCCGAGCTCTTCACAGTCAACCGTCACATGTTATCGAGCCAACAGAGGAATGAATCTCCAATTGGGTGTCGGAATATTGGAATTCAAGTAAAACGGAGGGATGAATAAAAAACGTTTTTTTTCCGATCACAAGAAGAAAGATTAGTAAAGATCAATGTTAAGAACAGTGGTTTGGGTGGTCTGTACTGTTATTGTCAAACGAAACAATGTTTTGGTTTTAAATTAAAATTATGTGAAAAAATGTTTACATGAGTCAAAAGTTGTGAATTTTCTTCCATCAGGTTATACCCACCAAAGACAGACTTGAGGGTCTTAAAGCATTCAAAGAGGAAAGAACACCACAATACACAGGGGAGTGAAGAGAATAACATGACAGAAAAGCATGGACATGATGGAGTAAATGTGCAACTGGAAAACAGAACCAAGACTCTGGTGAACTGTTTGACCCCCTAAGAGTGACCGGCATCTAATTTCTCCTTACAATATCACCCCTGAATCAATCATTAAGGTTAGCAGAGTAAAGGAAATGATCACCAACTAAAAAAGCTCTTGATTGTTAAACAAACTCTCCTTGTCAGCACCTTAAGAAATACATAGAAAACTGTATGGAGAATATGTATACTGATGTACACCCCCACCCCATCCCCCCCAAATGGTCGAAA